TCTTCAGGCTGACGAGGTGACACCATGGAGCTGTCTCCGTCTCTTCTCCAAACTGACATAATAACTTAGCCAGCCTCCTCACTGATTATCTTTTCAAAGACCCTGTCTCCAATAAGGTCACACTCTCAGGTTCTGGGGCTGAGTTCAACATATGAATGATAGATCTGAAGGTACCAGACATGCTACAGCACCCCAAGTCAGACAGAAGCCGCTGGCACCTCCTCCAGGATGTCCTCTGGTTAATCATTTCTTCAGTAATGAGAAGCCCTAGGCTCCCTAGGTGGATGTGGTATGTTCTGTATGTCAAATTTCTCTGATTGGTCAATAAATAAAACACTGATTGGCCAGTGGCTAGGCAGGAAGTATAGGTGGAACTAACAGAGAGGAGAAAAGAAAGAACAGGAAAGCAGAAGGAGTCACTGCCAGCCGCCACCATGACAAGCCACATGTGAAGACACCGGTAAGCCATGAGCCACGTGGCAAGGTATAGATTTATGGAAATGGATTAATTTAAGCTATAAGAACAGTTAGCAAGAAGCCTGCCACGGCCATACAGTTTGTAAGCAATATAAGTCTTTGTGTTTACTTGGTTGGGTCAGAGCAGCTGTGGGACTGGCGGGTGACAAAGATTTGTCCTGACTGTGGGCAAGGCGGGAAAACTCTAGCTACAGATGGGGTTGTAGAATATTACCTTAAGATGTGTTACATTTGTTTATGCTGTGGAATGTAGGCAGATTTTTCTATCCCTCCTGTCTGTTCCCAAATAACCACATGGAGACTTCTTATTGATTACGATAGCTTAGGCTTGTTTCTAACTAGCTCTTATAACTTAAATGAACCCATTTCTTTTAGTTTACTTTATGCCTCATGGCTTTATTTTTTTTTTTTATTTTTTTTTTTTTTTGGTTTTTCGAGACAGGGTTTCTCTGTGTAGCTTTGCGCCTTTCCTGGAACTCACTTGGTAGTCCAGGCTGGCCTCGAACTCACAGAGATCCGCCTGGCTCTGCCTCCCGAGTGCTGGGATTAAAGGCGTGCGCCACCACCGCCCGGCTGGCCTCATGGCTTTATTAACTTTACTCTGCCCATGTTGTTTTCCTGCTTCTTCCGTGTCTGGCTGGCAACTCCTCAAGACTCCTCCCTTCTTCTTCCCAGAGTTCTCTCTGCCCTGAAAGTCCTGCCTAGCTATTGGCCATTTAGCTTTTTACTAAACCAATCACAGTGAAATGTCTTCACACAGTGTAAAGGAATATTCCACAACAGTGGAACATTTGTGTAATGATGCAAAGATGTGTTGCATTCTTTTATGTTGCATTTATTTAACTCTGTGAAGCTGTGTTACTTTGCCTGCCTAAAATACCTGATTGGTCTAATAAAGAGCTGAACAGCCAATAGCGAGGCAGGAGAAAGGATAGGTGGGGCTGGCAGGCAGAGAGAATAAATAGAAGAAGAACTTGAAAAAAAGGAGAGGAACAAGAAGAGAAGAAGGAGAGGAAGACCTCAGGGCTGGCCACCCAGCTACACAGCCAGCCACAGAGTAAGAAGTAAAGAAAGGTATAGAGAATAGAGCAAGATAAAAGCCCAGAGGCAAAAGATAGATGAGAAAATTTAAGTTAAGAAAAGCTGGCTAACCAGGTAGCAGTGCACGTCTTTAATCCCAGCACTCAGGAGGCAGAGACAGGCAGATCTCTGTGAGTTCGAGGCCAGCCTGGTCTACAGAGTGAGTTCCAGGATAGCCAGGACTGTTTCACAGAGAAACCCTGTCTCAGAAAGATTAAAAAGAAAGAAAGAAAGAAGGAAGGAAGGAAGGAAGGAAGGAAGGAAGGAAGAAAGAAAGAAAGAAAGAAAGAAAGAAAGAAAGAAAGAAAGAAAGAAAGAAAGAAAGAAAAGAAAAGAAAGGAAAAGAAAAGAGAAGAAAAGCTGGCTAGAAGCAAGCCAAGCTAAGAGCTAAGGCTGGACATTCTTAAGAAAGAGTAAGTTTCTGTGTATCTTTTTGGGAGCTGGGTGGCGGGCCCCCAAAGAGCCAAAAGAGTAAAAGAACAACAGCTACAGAATGCGGCAGTGGAAATCCCAGCCAGTCACGGCCTTTCCTCCAGCTCAGCCTGGTCTGCCCATTGGCTCCCTGTGAGGGGCGCCCTGGGCTCAGGGATCTACCCACCACCACATGGTCAACCAGAGAGACCAGGACTGTGTCCAAGTCCAGCCTCAGATGTCAGAGCAGCCAGGCCCTGGTTTCTTTCTGCCTTCTGTCTCTTTATGCTGCCTCAGAATCTAATACCCAGGACCAGGAAGATTGTTCCCTGGCCTCCCTCAAAGTCTCACCACCCCAGACTTCCCACACCCACTTTTTAGCCTGAGGCTGTGATGTTTGTTTGTTGTTTGTTTTTATTTTGTTGTTGTTGGTTGGGATTTTTTTTTGAAACATTCTTTTCAACAAAGTAGAATTTTAAATTTATTTCTATTTTTAAAATTTATTTTATTTTATGTGAGTGTTTTGCCTGCAAGTGTGTATGTGTGCCCTGTGTGTGCCTGGTGCCTGCAGAGGTCAGAAGGGAGAACAGATCCTCTGGAACTGGAGTTAAGGATGGTTGTGAACCGTCATGTGGGGGCTGGGAATGGAACCCAGGACCTCTGCAGGTGCTCTTAACGGCTGAGCTACCTCTCCAGCCCCCAGTTTCTTTATTTTTTATGTATATGGGTGTTCTGCCTACACGTATGTCTGCGCATTCCTGGCGCCATATCCTCTGGAACAGGCATTACAGTTGACTGTGAGCCACCATGTGGATGCTGGGAACCGGTCCGCTGGAAGAACAGACTGTGCTCTTAACTGCGGAGCCATCTCTTCAGTTCCAAGTTGGTTGGTTTTTTAAAGCAAAGTCTTAGGTAACCCAGCGGGCTATGTCCTTGAGGATGACCTTGAGTTCCTCCTCCTGTTTTCATCTCTCAAGTGCTGGGATTACAGGATGTGCCATCACACCAAGAAACGTGTGATATTTCTCTTACTTTTCCACGCGGCTTTCCCCTGGAAAAGTCAGTAAAAATCCCAGTGGAAAAGCCCCAGCCTAGTCTCAGAGAAGCCCTGGGCACGAGGGCAGTCAAACCGAGGTCAGAAGAAGGCCACGTAGGGGGAGGCGCAACTAGGACACTAACCGAAGTTCAACCCGGCTCCCCACGACCTTGGGGGAGGCATCTCTGTCTCTGAGCCTTAGTTCACTCTTCGGTAAAATGGAATTATTGCTGGGATGAAGTGAGCTCTAGGTAGGTAAGAGCAGGAAGGACCTTCCACCAGATGTTGGCCTGTCTCAGGGTCAATTTTGCCCAGAATGCTAAGGGGCCCAGACTGGAGTCCAGTCTAAGACTGAGGAGTCGGAGTTCACCCTCTGCCCCTGGTGGCTGCCGGGTATAGCGGGGACGTGGGGGGGCGGGGCGCTGATTGTGCCCCACTCTCTCTGATGCCAATTTGAGTCCAATTTTCCGTGGTGCCGGCGACCTAAATGCAGCAGACGGTGGCGTCTGCTGTTTCCATAGTGACCCCGGCGGGCGCTAGGGGGAGCCGCAGGGCGATTTCAGGCCTCCTGCGAGCTGAGGCGGGGCTGGGCTGGGCTTTTGAGTGGGTGTGGCGTCCGCTCTGGCCCCACCCAGGCTCTTTCCTACAGCTTGGAGAGGGGTGGGCGGAGGTCGGGCCCTCCACGGCCCCCTCGCTCCTCGGACCTCCAGAAGGGGTCATCACTCAGGCACTACCCTGGTGCATGGCTGACATAGTTTAGGCTTGCGTCAAGACCCTCTCTAAGGGCTCTGGACTTGTCTTCTGCGGGACCCTGTTTAATCATCCTGCCCTGGAGGGAGGTGGCGTCATCCCAGGGCTCTGTTCTGCTCTGCTTCCAAAGTGGGCAGCACTTCCTCCCAAAGGTCAGCCCCGGACTCTCCCACACTCCCTCCCTATTTCCTATCTCACTGCCCTTGCTCAAAACCGGCTCTGGGACCCACAGGAAGGGCTGGCGACAGAAAGGTTCTACAAAAACAGCAACACTTCTAAACCGTGACGCTGGGTAGGGCCCAAGGAGACATCCTGGGCACTGGACCCAGAGCGCCCACGGTTTTAAATTTAAAGCAGAACCCTAGGCAAACTTCCTCACCTCCCCTCCCACCTCTGGCGTTTGGGGGTCAGGCTATTTTTAGAAGGAGGGCGGGCTGGAGAAATTGCTCTATTCATTCTGGAGGTTAGCGCGAAGAGGCCAGGAAAGAACAGAAGGCCTGTGTCTCCCACAGCCCTTCCAGCTCACCCAGGGTGGGGCCTGGGCCTGGGGGGCTTTGTTGAGCTAACATTCATGGAAACTTCCTGGTGGCTAGGCCCTGAACTTCCTCAGGCCTGGCTCAGGCTTGGCCAAGGAACACAGCACAACTAATGAGGGGACCCTAGGCATAGCCAGCTTTGCTCCCCAAGCCAGCCCTGACTAGGTACCGTAGCTCCCTCCTGCAGGGGGACAGCCAAGATGGTCTGTCCATGCACGGTTGTGGAGGGCCATGACCATCGTTCAAGGGAGGAGGAGGTGCTTGCCCACCATAGCCCTCGCCAAAACTAGTCCATGGCACCTCATTTTGCACCTAAATTTCCTCATCTGCGAAATAGGACTTTTGCTGGAATTCATGAGGTCCAGGCTGGAAGACCTGTCATCCTAGAGACCATCCTTGCGCCCTAATGTACCAGGATGAAGGGCACAAGAGGGTGTCTAGTCTCCAGGAGATCTGCAGCAGAGGTAGGAGGCCACCAGGAGGAGCGGCCACAGGCAGTCTAGCTGAGGAAGAGGAGAGAGAGGGTCCCTAGGTAGAGGCAGTGGAAGAACCCACACTGTGGCTCTGAACAAACCCGCCCTGGAGCCTCTGGCTCTGCTCAGCCTCTCCCAGTCCAAGTGCCAAGCACCCACGTGCTTACCCGCCCAACACTCTGACTTGCTCAGCCTAGGTTCTTAGGAGAGATTAGAATGTCACTGGTCAAGCCAAAATTGTCCTCAGCACCTCAAGTACCCACCAAGGGTGCCCATGGCCACCGGGAAGGGTGTCTTTATTTCTGCTTCAAATCACTGGACAAAGAGGGGTATACTCCAGATCTGGACCGTGGAACACAAAGTCAGGGACTGAGGTCCTGGCCACACTTAGCCAGACAGGAAGCTTGGTGAGCTGGGTGTCCTGGTGGGCCCAGTCTTTTCTGTGGATCAGCCAGTCGTCCTGGGATCAAGGCCCTCTCAGAGGTCAGAGAGCAGAGCCTGCCACGCCCTTATCTGTTACTGGACCAGGGAATGCCTAGTGCCCAGAGCTGACGCCCTCAGTGCCGTCGTGATCTGCTGCCTTCCCTGGTGGTCCTGGTGGACTCGAGGAAGGAACTGCAAAAAAAATACACAAAAGCCTCTATAGTGGTGACTGGTCCTAGGGGTCTAAGGTCAGCCTTTGGCAGACATCGGGGTGGGGCGGCCCCTTCTTCCCAAGAGCTGACGGGAAGGAAGAGGTGATGATACACTTGTGTTAGGGAAAGAGAGAAGGAGGATGAAGCCCACCTCGGGGAGCAGAAGCAACCCTCCTCCCACCCTGCCCGCTACTTCAGGGGCAAGTACGGCAGAGAGAAGGGTAGACCCAGGGCCTCTCCAGAGCCCAAGCCCCACTGGTCACCTGAGGGCCAGTCCCTGCGGCTCCCACCTCGGATGCTGGCCCGACAGAGAGTGAAGGGGCTATAAGTAGATGTGGGGTCTCTGGCCACAGACCCCTTCAGGGCCAGCTGCTCCCTGGGGCTGAGGTCTCGGGAGAGGAGGAGGGCTTGTGGGGTTCTGAGCATCCTTCATGGGAGCTGAGCTCACTTCCTCCCAGGGGATCCTCCAGTGGCTTCCAGACATAAGGATTTCCAGGGTACAGCTCAGCCCACATGGCCCCAGCTTTCAGCGGCCTGAGAGCCGCTCTGGAGGGCCCCACTGCCAGCTTGCTGGCGCCGAGGACTGACCCCCTCCCGCCCCACCCTCCTCTAGAAGTTCCAGGCTTTCACCAAGGTCCCTGCTGCCAAGACAGGAGGAACCCATGTTCCCAAATGTGCCCCTTTACCCTGGCCCCTCTGGGTCCTTGTGGGCAATGTGCACTGTTCCAAAAGGTGTTGCGTCAAGAGGGAAGGAAGGGGAACGGAAGGCGGCTGGAAGGCAGGAGAGGGTGCATCTGTCGGGTGATGGAGCCACAGGCATGCATGAGGGGACAGGTACAGAGAGGAGGAAGCAGGGGAGCAGGAGGGGCAGGTAGAGGCAAGGCAGTGCTCTGGTGCTGGGCAGGTGGGGTTGGGGTGTGAACTAGTGCAGGGTCCCCCCACACCTGCTGCGAACACAGACAGGAAGTGGGTGCGGTTTCTGAGACCGGTGAAACGGCCTCTCACTCACCAGCGGCAGCCTGGATCTGAGGGGTACTCCTCTGGGTGCCCTCAGGTGGCCAGCGCAGCTCCCCACTTTCCACAGAACCCACTTCAGTGGGTTCCACCACAATAGAGGGCAGTCGCTGGCAGAGCCGAGGGCCCTTCTCCCGGACGCCTACTGCAGCCTAGAGGGAGAGTGGGGAAGGTCAGGGCCATACTGGGCCGTGGGCTCCTGGCCCCTGCCTCCTCGGCCCTCCACCTGCCCTACTAGGGAGGTCAAGAACAGGCAGGGTGAACAGCCCCTACCTCTTACCACCACTAGGGAATGAGGCACCAAGGGAACACCATGGCACTCACCTGGGCTCAGACCCAGAAGCCCATTTCACAGACAGACCCTAAGACCATAGAGACCAAGTCACTCAGGAGGGAGCCCGGGACTGAGCGCCCCAGCTGCTTCCAGTACCTGGAACCCAGCACACTTCCTTTCTGGGGGCTTCCCTGCTGGGTCCTTGGCCTCCTCCCTCCACAAGGCAGGCTGAGGAGCTAGGAAGACGTTGCCATGGCAATCAGAGCTGGCTCTCGCTCATTGTGCAGTGCCCACACGCCCTCCGGGTGCCCTCAGCGTCTCCACATCCCATTCAAGGCTTTTCAAGGCCGAGGCTGTCTCACACAGCTCCATCCCTTGGTGCCCCGAGGTCTGACTTGCCTGCGCGGCTCTACCTCTGTGCCCTCCTGGGGTTCTGGCAAAGACCGCTACCTAGTGTACGTGCGCCTTCCCATGGTGGCATGAGGGCCTCCAGGAAGGAAGGCACAGAGCAGGCAGGCAGTTACACTGGCCCTGGCTGCCGGCTTAGAGCCACTGGACATTGGTTTCCCACACATGCTCTACCCAGGACCCTTTAGTCAAGTACTGCAGGGGACCCTGAGGTCTGAGAACAGGTGTCACCAGGCTGGCTCATCTGTGAAACAAAAGAACAGAAGTCCTCAGATGACAGCAGAGCAGGGGGCAGAGCAGGGACCCTTTCCTGCCCCCACAGCTGGGACCTCCTGGGGCCGACCCTATATTGGCATTGCCAAGTCAGGCCTCCTTGCCCATCCCGGCTCCCTCCTCGCATGCCATTTTACTTCCTGCCCCTCAGCCGGGGTTCTGGCTGGAGGGTACCCACGATGGGAAGGTGGCCAGGCCAGTAGGACCTTCAGGGTAGCTGTGCCGATGAGCTCAGAGTCTGGGCTGCTTATTCGTCACTGGCCCCACCGACCCAATCCAGCTCAGGAACAGACCCCAAGCTGCTTCTCTGTGCAGGGACTAGGTTCTCATTTTACTTCATTTCTGAAACGGGGTCTCATGCCCCAGACTGGCCCGTAACCCACTACGTAGCCAAGGCTGGTCTTGATCCTTCTGACTCACTTTCTAGACTACTAGGATTACAGGGGTGCATCAGTGCACCCCAGTATATTAAACATTTTGCTGCATCCACATCCCTGACAAAAACTGGATCTGCAGGCACCCTAAAATTGTATCTACCATGACAGGCGGCAGTGGCATGTGCCTTTAATCCCAGTACTCGGGAGGCAGAGATTGGAGATCATTGTGAGTTTGAGGCCAGTCTGATCTACAGTTTTTCCAGAACAGCCAGGGCAGTTACACAGAGAAACACTGTCTCAAAAAACAGAACAAACAGAAAAATTGTATCACCCTGCAGAGAGCAAAGTGTAGTCATGTGCTTGGAGAATCAACCTTCACATTCCCAGGTCCAGAAGGAGCGTTAAGTAAGCCAGGGTAGTTTGCTTTCAATTGCTCTAACCACCAAATTTCCATAAAAATAGCAGTGGCGCCTGGCGGTAGTGGCGCATGCCTTTAATCCCAGCACTCGGGAGGCAGAGGCAGGCGGATCTCTGTGAGTTTGAGGCCAGCCTGGGCTACCAAGTGAGTTCCAGGAAAGGCGCAAAGCTACACAGAGAAACCCTGTCTCGAAAAACAAACAAACAAACAAACAAAAATAGCAGTGGCCTCCCGGAATGGAAAAGTAGACTGAGGCTAGCAGAGATGGCAGGCATATCTGAAGTCATAGGCTAGAGCTCCAGGCTGGCTCCCTCTGGTCTCCTGTCTCTTCCACCACTTACCTTCCCTGCCGGGCCTCTGGCGCCCTCTGTAGGACTCTCCGATGCAGCTGACTGCAGAGTGCTCATGCTGATGCTGATGCTGGGCTACAGAAAGACAAGAGCAGACATGAGGCATCCCCTGCAGCCAGTGCAAGCCGGCCGCCTCCTCCTCCTCCGGGAACTCACCCCGCCCCAGCCTCCCCTGGCCCAACGCTCACAGCTTAGGCCTGATCTTTGTTATGCTGCTCCCTCAGAGGAAGAGCGGGGACAGCTGCCATACAGTGCCCAGGACTGTAGAGAAGTGTGGCAAGAGGGGGAAGAGATTGACCCAGCCTTGAGAGCCAGGAAGGCTTCCTGGAGGAAGGTCAGCTGGCCTGAGGCCTCCCTAAGGGATGAACAGCAGGCAGCCAGGGCAGCAGAAGGAGCGATTGGTGGGCTGAGACAGGGGACAGCAGAGAATACAGCAGACCCCAGGACCCAAACAGGTTTCAGAGTCAGGAGGCTGGGACCACCTGGGACTGAGTTTGAGCCAGCCAGAGGCCAAGGTGCCCAGTCCCCCCCCCCAGAACACCCCTTCACCCACAGACCCCTGGGCTATGCCCTGAGGACCTATCACCAGAGGGAGGCTGACATCTTGCCTGAACACGGCCATGCCTACCCAGGCCAGGCACAGGATGGGAAGGCTGGGTCAGAGCCTCCACAGTGAGGGCCGTGGAATGAGCGTCTCTGAGAGGCCCACCCTCAGCAATGCAGCAGGGTAGGTTCTTGGGGCCCAGCCTAGGCCAGAGGAAGAGATGAGGGAGGGGTCTAACAGGCACTGGCCAGATTTTAGACAGGTAGTACAGAGCCGCAGGCTAGAGGCCGGGGAGCTGGAAGAAGATCGGGGCAAGGCAAAATAGTGAACCGCAGGATGGAATGCCCGAGACACCCTCCAGGAGGCAGGTACTTGGAGGGCGGCGGAGGGGGGGGGGGAGACGCTCTTAGCAAGGTCAACTGCTAGTCTGGAAAATGAGGTTCCTTCTACCAAATGTCCACCTCGGTCAGCTCAAGTTCCATGGAATCCCAGGGGAGTCTGGAAGGGGGACACGTGCCTGTGATGGGCATCCCCAGGCAGTAAGCAGCCTCGTCCTAGCCACTAGTGCCTCTGTCCCGGAGTCCATGGGATGCCCTGTGGACTGCTGCTCCCAACTCTGAGACCCTCTTAGGACCCTGCATACCTCCGAGTTCTGGGAACTTCGGCTAAGCCCAGAACAGAGACCCAAAGATGGCTCAGAGACCTTCAGAAAAAGAGGGAGGGAGGGTGGCCACAGAGGCCGTGCAAAGAGGGGCAGAGCTAAAGAGTGAGGGGAGAAAGAGGCTGAAAGGAGGAAGATCGTTCCAGGGGAAAATCTGGGGAGCAAGACAGCAGCGAGGATGGAGCTACCATGGGGCGGCGAGCTGAGGGCAAGTGCCACAGACTGTCTTGCTCTTGCCCAGTGCCTGGTGTCCGAAGGCACGGCTGCGAGTGCCGCCCACACCTCCATCCGCTCTGGGGTGCGGGAGGGCCAGGTGTGGTGGACCGCAGGCAGTAGGGGGCCTCTTGGTCCAGAGCCCCGCGTTAGATTGCCAAGGGAGACCGTGGGACCCACGCCCGTCCCTTCCCCGGGGCGCTCCCACTAACTCCTTACTGCACTCGCTCTGCTCCCCACGCACCCGCCCCTGGCTGCCAAGGTGCACCCTGGACGGAACCCTGAGGGTGAGGGTGGGGAGGGGGCGTTGCGCCTCCCGCACACTCACCGACACTCACCGCTGGCGCTTGCGGGGCCTCCACGCTGGCTCGGGAGCTCTCCTCCCTCGATCCTCCTCCGAGCTCTCCGCCCACACACGCGCTCGCAGCCAGCCCCTCATTCACACTCCCGCCCTCGGCTCTGCAGGGCCACCGGAAGGACCTGGCCTCCACCTCCCTAGACACCACCCTATCGCCAGAACCTGGTCCTGGCCACTTCAGATCTCCTCCCCCAATCTCCAATTAGAATGTGAGGTGTAGCGTCATGTGGAGCCAGATAGGTAAGGAGGGGATTTTCTCCAACCAGGCACCTGAAGGGGAAGTGGAAAGGGGAGAAGTGGGGCAGCTTGGGATTGTTCCCCGTTCCCTCTCACATATTCGTCCCCAGTCCCATTCCTCAGAAGTGCTAAATAGCCCCGACAGTTGGTCTGGTGAGCAACTCTGACACCCAAGGCCATAGTGCATCATCCCAACAAACGTAATCCACATAATTCCCCTTCTAGGATCCACTGTGGACTCTCAAACGTCCAGTTCTCTCAGAGACCCGCAACCAATGTCCACATCTACTTATCCAAATCATCTCACACCCAACCATTCAACATTAGCCGTCACCTACCACCAACCGCCCAACGTCCATCCTATGGGAAATCCACCGTTACCTTCCAAGTACCACCCACCCATTCTCCAGCCGTCACTCAATCGCCATCCACCGGCTAACATCCACTCACTACTACCAATCACATAGCCACTTTGCTACATCCCCCACATATTCATCCTATCATTGCATCCAGCATCCATCCCTCACTAGTCACCCAACCACCTTGTAATTCACCCATCCATCTTCTTTCCATGTATTTATTCATCTACTATCCTGATTATCCATCAATCAATACCTATTAACTATGAACACCACATCATCACCACACCCCATCCAACTACTGTGCACCTATGTGTTCATCATCCACGTGCAATTTACTAAACATCAACATGCTGTGGAACACCTATCCAACAGACACTCATTTACATCCATTTATCATCACTCCAGAAGTATTCAATGCTGCAGGTTTCCATCAAATAACAACTTCATGCACCCATGTACCACTTACTAACTTCAATCATCAGTCTGTTATCTGTTTACTAGCCATGTGTCCTGAGCTTTCTACTAGCCTCTCTCCAATCAGCCACAACTCATTACCTATAATCAGTCATCAATTACCATCCATATTTATATGAACTGCACTCCACCTCCATCCATCCACCCATGACATTATCCTCGTCTATCACGTCTACCTGTTCAGTATCCATCTTACAGTACTCACCCATCCATTATCTGTCATAATTCACTATTAATCCCAAATCTATCCAAGTAGCATTGACCATCTACCCACTTTTCTATCCTAGGAAATTTCATTGAGTTCCACCTCTGTGTCGAACATTGTTGAAGGCACTGAGGATAGAGCAGAGAAGCAGCAGTGAGCATTCGTCTGCCAGTGTTCCTCCCAACGAGCCATCTAGACACTACCCACACCTCGTCTCCCATCTGGTACTATCATTTGATATTTACCTTCAGTGATCTCTCGTTATCCACTTACCACTGCCATCTTACATTAAATTATCCACTTACTATATCCTGCTTCCAGCCATCTAGTCAGCCACCATCGCCTCACTTTCATGACCATTCACCTTTCATGAGTCCATTTTCCAGGACGTAGTCATCAGCTGTTTAAGCTTTCTCCATTCACGAGGCCATCCTCGCCCTATGCCGAGTCCGCCCATTCATTATTCACTCCCCACCATCCATCTGCACTCGACCTGTTATCCTTCCAGCTAACAACCATTTCTTTGCCATTTATGATGGTTAGTCTTGGTTGTAAACCTAACAGGATCTGGAATCAACTGGGAGGCAGGTTTCTGGGCACAACTGTGAGGGGTTTTCTTGATTAGCTTGAAAGATCCACCCCGAGTGTAGACGGTAGTTTTTGGTGGTGGCCCAAGTACAAGGAGGTTTCAGGGGAGTTTCTGCCTGGTCGCCTTCACATCCCACTGGTGAACTCTGTTGCTGCTACTGGCATGGTTGTTGCCGTTTTCACTGACGTCAGAACCCAGCTTCTTCAGCCTCTCAAAGTGAACTGAAGACCAATGGCTCCCCAGGAATTCTCCAGGTCTTCAGAACCAGATTAGGACTGCTGGGGTATCCAGCCTCAGGGAGTGAACAGCCCGTTTGCAGCCTCTCTTGTGTGAAGATGACCACTGTTGGATTAATTGGATAAATCCCCCTTTAATATATGTTCATTCTCTTGTTCTGCTCCTCTAGAGAACTCTAACACACCATTTATTTCCCATCCATGCCCCTCCATCTTCCATCTGACATGCTCTTGTCCATCACTCATGATCCATCCATCCATCAATCCTGTACCCATCAACATTTACACTTAATTTATTTGAGTAGACCCATCATAACCAACTTGCTAATTATCCACTGTGCGTCTATACTTTATGGTTTATCTACCAGATGTCTACCATCTGTCATCTGTTACCTACAATCCACCTACTATCTTTAGAGTCATTCACTATCTACCCATGGACTCTTCATCCTATCCAACCCATCCTCTATGTATCTACAATGCATCTATTCATCACTGCCCAGCCATCTACCCTCTATAGATACTCCTTCCCTCCCCATCCACTCACCATGGCAGCACAACCACCTTGCCTAACCACTGTGCACACACCCCACTTACGTCATTCTACCATTGTATCCAGCATTCACCCCTCCACTCGTCACCAGCCACACAGAATTCACCCTACCCAGCATTCTTCCATGTAGTCATCTATGATCTTTACATTATTGATAATGTACATCTATTTTCACCTCTCTCTTTACACCTTTTCCATAATTGATCCTTTTTCTTAACATTCTTTTCCTCACTCATTCATAAACCAAACATTCACTTATTGGTAACTATTAAAATTGTTGTGGAGAGATGGCTCAGCAGTTAAGAGCATTTGTTGTTCTTACGGAGGACCCAGGTTCAATTCCCAGCACCCGAGGACACCAGGCACAGACATGGTGCACAGACATACATTCAAGCAAAACACTTATACACATAAAATAAAACAAATTAATATCTAAGAAAAAATTCAATATAAAAAACATTCATTGCAAATTGGAAAGGAAGAAGTCAAACTTTCACTATTTGCAGATGATATGATAGTATACATAAGTGACCCCCAAAACTCTACCAGGTCTTGTATAATATTAGAGGGACCAGCCTTAATATTATACATCCCAGGGGCTCAGGAGAGAGAACTACTAACGGCGAGAACTATTATCAGGAAATATAATCTCAGCACACTGAGTTCCATAGTCCACTTGCTTTAATTCCTCTGGCATAACATCCTTTATACACAGCTTCAGTTCTGTTCTCATGTCTAGCTCCTTTCTTGACTGATTTCTCTCTATATTTATCTACTGTCCCCTCTAGGTTCTATCTTAATTCCTTCATCTAGTTCTGCCCCTTCTAGGTTCTCATCCATCTTTTCCTTCCCATATCATCCCCTCTCCCGTCTCCTTCTCCCTCATCTGGCTCTTCCTCATCTTCCATCTCGTTCCTGTCGTACTCTCCTGTAGCCCTTCAATCTACTTCTTCCCCATCTCAGTTCGTTCCTCTCCAGTTCTTACCCATCTCGTTCTTCCATTCTCTTCTCTCTTCCTCTCCTCCTGTCCTCTGCTTTACAGTTATATATCTCCCCAAAATCACAATCCTCCCCTCCACCCAGGACACTCAGCCTGAACTTCCTCAGGCAGTGATTGTCCGCTATCAGGATCAAATGGAGGGTTGATAAAAATTACAAAGAGGGGCACTAGTTGTTAATTACCATTTGTGACCCAAAGGGGAAGTGACTAATGAATTAACTAAAGGCTAAATATGGGTAACATCTAAGAAGAGGGATCTTACGTGCACAACTATAACCTTAAATGTGTTTGGTAAAGGATGTTAAAAATC